ATCTGAGGACCATGGCTCAAAGCCAGCCCAGGCAGAAAAGCTCACTGGATTCTTTTTTTTTTTTTGCCAGTCTTGGGGCTTGAACTCAGGGTCTGGACACTGTCCCTGAGCCTCTCTGTGCTCAAGGCTAGCGCTCTACCACTAGAGCCATAGCGCCGCTTCTGGCTTTTTCTGCTTATGTGGTGCTGAGGAATCGAACCCAGGCCTTTATGCATACAAGGCAAGCACTCTACCACTGAGCCACCTTCCCAGCCCCGCCCATGATTAATTATCTCTAATTAACCACCAGAAATCCAGAAGTGGTGCTGTGGCTCAAAGTGGTAGAGCACTAGCCTTGAATGAAAAGCTCAAGGACAGTGCCCAGGCCCTGAGTTCAAGCCTCATGACCTCCCCCTTTCCTCCTCCAGAAAAAAGACCACCTGGTTAAGTCCAGCAGCAAGTAGCAAGCAAAGGAACTTTCTGAGCCCAGAGCACGAGGCCCAGGGGGCAGGAGAGGGAAGGGACCATCAAACTGCTCTTTACCCTTCTCCCTGAATTTTAAAGTATAGATCTTGTCCCTGGACATACAGCCTCCTAGGGGGCAATTTCAAAGGTGAAAAAGAAAAGTGTTTTTGTGCTTTAGATCTGTGAGGCCTAAGCTGTGCTCTGTAATCATTTCCTTGACTCCCCCTTCCCTTCCCACCCTACCCAACAAGCCCCCATGCTTCACCTTCTTTGTCGGTCAGCACCTCCATACGCCCGCTGAACATGGCCTTGAGCATGGTGTCATGCCGGGTGAGGGCCCGCACAGTTGTGTAGTACAGTGAGCCGCCGACATTGAGCTGCACGTACTTGTTGCCCAGCCCACCTCCCTTAAAACCACTTAGCTTGGGCTTGGCCCCTGAGGCTGGGCACAGACAGGTGTCCCCTGACATCTCCCGCTGCAGATAGATCACCACACGGCAGGAGGTAGGCTTGGAAGGCTCCGCCGTGGTGGAAGTGGTCAGAAGTGAGTGGCTGATGGAGGCCAGAACCTCATACTCTCAGTGCTGTGAGCAGAGGAGAACACAGGAAGTCAGCACAACAGAGCCCTCAAACAAGGAGGCTACACTTCTCCCTCCTTGCTCTGCCCAGGCTAAGTCCCTAGGCAACAGTAGGAATGACTTTGCTGCTGCTCCTTGTCTGGGAACACAGTCTCTCACAACACTGGTCTTAGTCACCTCACCACCCCACAAGAGAGGTCCCCAGGAACAGCTTGTCCTAGGAGCCACCAGAAAGATTCCAAATTCACAAGGTTCCCTAGGTCCACACTTTCAGTCCAACCTATTGGGAATCTAGCCAGCCTTGGAGTTTCCCTGGAGTCTAAAGGACAGGATACATTTCCTTTCTCAAGAGTGCAGCCTCAGAAACAGGCCTGCTCCAGGCTCCTTAAGGAAGGAAAGTGAGTGTGGCTGCGGAGGTGGCTGGCCAGTGTGCTTGGCCGGAGTTACCTGGACTCCCACTGAGCTTCCTGGCCTTTCCCCTTTCTTGGCAGTGGCCTTGCCCCTAGTTCCTGAAATTGTCACCATTTTTTCTTTCTTTTTTTTTTTTTGTTGGGCCTGAGCCCTGTCCCTCAGCTCTTTTTTTGGGGGGTCCCGTCGTGGGGAATGAAATCTGGGCCTAGGTGCTGTCCCTCAGCTCTTCAGCTCAAGGCTAGCACTCTACCACTTGAGCCACAGTGCCACTTCTGGCTTTTTTCTTTTCGCTTATGTGGTGCTGAGGAATCGAACCCAGGGCCTCATGCATGCAAGGCAAGCACTCTACCACTGAGCCACCTTCCCAGCCCCTGTCACCATTTTTTCAAGGCAGAACAACTACAGGATGGCTATTTTTGCTACTTTTTCCTGAGAGATACTCCAGCCCTGTCTCTTCCTCTCTTCACTCCCAGTAAGAATGGGGAGAAAAAGATAAGTCCAGATGATAAATCTAAACACGATTAGCTAATGTGTAAATTAAAACACTAACAAGTTCACAGATCTGAGGTATGAAGCAAACAAACCAAGGTCGCCCTTGGGATTTAATCTACTTCCATCCCTCCATTTGTGAGGCTTAGTTGCTTCTTGGTTCTGAATCCATGAACTCAAACAACAGGAGATTGAAAAATATTTTAAAAATTGCAACTTGCTGGGCCCTGTTGGCTTACACCTGTAATCTTAGCTACTTAGGAGGCTGAGATCCAAGGATCAAGGTTCAAAGCCAGCTGGATCAGGAAAGTCCATGACACTCTTACCTCCAGTTAACTACCAGAAAACCAGAAGTGGCGCTGTGGCTCAAATGGTAGAACACTAGCCTTGAGCTGAAGAGCTGAGGGACAGCACCCAGGCCCAGAGTTCAGGCCCCACGACCAAAAAAACAAAAACAAAAAAAACCCCCAAAATGCAACTTCACTCTACATCTTGTAATTGTTTCATAAACAATGTAATGATTAGTTACATAGCATTACACTGCATATATTTACATTGTACATTTTTGAATTCAGGGTGTTGCATGGCCTTGGCCTGCTTGGCTAGAACTGTACCACTTGAGCCATGCCTCCAGTCCTACTTTTTGCTGGTTATTTTGGATAGACTCTCATGGTCTTTTCTGCCTGGATTGGCTTTCAATAGTCATCCTCCAGATCTCATCCTCCTGAGTAGCTGGGATTACAGATGTGAGCCACTTGTGCCTGGTTACATTGTACATTTTCATATGCATTTACATTAGGTATAATAAATAAGCCATCCAGAGGTGATTTAAAGTATACAGGAGGATGTGCATACGTTATATGTAAACACTCCATCATTTTATCATTAGTTCCTGGAGCCATACTGATGGACAACTGCATTATGTTCTGGCTATCTAAAGAGTCACTAGGCTGAGCTTAGTGGAGCACTCCCATAACCCCAGCACTCAGGTATGTTGAGTCAGGGGGGGATCTTGGATTGGAGGCCAGACTGGGCTACATACCAAGATAATGTCTTAAAGAAAAACAAGAAAATAGAATCATTAAAATTCTTTTGCTGATATAAAGGCACAATAGCTAAATATTCACTGTAGGCTTACTATGTAGCAGGTACTTTTTTAGGCATTTAGTCTATATTTTTAGCTCATTTAACTCAGCAATAAAACTATTGAGTAAATACTACCTTACACAGTAGGTAACTATGCACAGATACTCTCCTTGCTTCAAGCAGTTCAAAGAAGACCACGATGTTAACAAGAATTTTAGCTGAGGTCTAAAGAGAGAATTCCAGACAGATGGAAGAGTAAGTCTAAATTCCTGTTAGAAAGATTTAGGAACAGAAATAAGGTCATGTAGCTGGTGCACAGAAAGCAGGGGGAAACTGGCCCGAGGCTTAAGTCAGGGAAGAGAGGTGCAAGATGTCAGTGAAGAGCTTTATTTTATTTGTAATACAGTAGAGGAATCAATTGGGAAGCTTTACACAGAGGAGTGATATGAACCGATTTATTTATGTTTCAAAGTTAGCTCTGGCTGCTATGTAGAGAAGGGATTGTAAGGGTACATGACAGGAGATTGGAAGGTCAGCAGCATTCTTGGGAAGAGGTAATGAAGTCTTGGATCACAGCGATAGTGATGAGGACAGAAGAAAAAGTGGAATAATCTCATAACATGAAGTCGGTTTCTGGTTGGGCATCATCTTTTATGTGGGCAATCCAGAAACATGGTAACTACTTCTCCAAGGTCACTGCTCTGCTCCCCTAAAAGTGTCATGCACATTTTAATTAACACCTCGGCTTGTTAGTCTGAAGTTGTCCCTGAAAAGACTTAGAAGGGTCTCTGGGAAGAAAGCTGGAGGGGCAGGAGGGGCATCAAGTGAAGTGAATTCCTCCTGGTTTGTTCCTGTGAGCCAGGAGACTGCTACCAAGCACCACTAGAATGGGTGAGATAACCTTCCCTTCCTCCGCCCACCTCAAAGGACTAAACTCATCCTTTCAACAGGTTTTAGCAAGTTCCTTATGTACTTTGTGGCCAGCCCGGATTTCCCCAGGATTAAAGAAAGCTCGTTTGGCCAAATCAAAGGAAGTCAATGGATAGGAATGCCGCGAGAGAAAGACAAATTCCGGAGCTAATCCATTTCTTTCCCACAAAGCAATTGCCTTGAGCTCCTGGATGACGTTAGGACGGATTCCACCCGGGCCAATGAGTTCCTGGAATCCGGTGGCAGGTGACGCCCCAGAAAGATATTCCGTGGAGAATGCACTTCCCACTGATAGCCGCCGAGCCCTTCCTTCCGGGCGTCATGTGTGGCTATTTAGGGATCCTACGGCTGGCGGTGGGCCCCCGTCTCGCAGAACAAAGGACACACCATCACGACGGCAGAAGGCAGTGGGGTGGTCAAAGGAGGACCCAGAAATCCTTCCCACACGAGGGGAAGGATCTGGACTAGAGGGGAGCAATCCCAGACTCCATGCAACGAGTCCCGAAGAAACTTAGCGACACCCCGCCTCTCTCCAGACCAGTGCAGGGTGTTCTTCAGCCTGCAGACCGGTTCTGACACTACCCCAGTGGAGGGTCTGAACTTCCGTCTCCCCCCACCCCAGCCCCCAGCCATGACCTGGCGGGGGCCGGTCCATCCATTCCTTTCCCTACGGCCTCTGCAGGCCAGTCTCTCACCGTCCTCCGGGGCGCTTCTCCTCCCCACCGAGTGTCGAGTGGACTCCGTACCAACCCCGGGCCTGTGGCCGCCAGTCCACCAGCAATCCCGGCTGTGAGCTCACATCCTGCACCGGTCGACTCCTCCCGGAGCAGCGGCCCAGCCCTGACCTCTCGGGAAAGCGAGACTACAAGGCCCAGCGTGCACCGCGCTGGGCCAGGGGGATAGAGTCAGAATCCGTCGAGAGTCCCGCCTCACGCGCAGTTACTTCCGGTGGGCTGGCCGGCGCAAACTCTCCTGGGTCTTGTAGTCCCTTAGGGCCTCTGTTTCCCAGCAGGCCCGGAGACGGGGGGGGGGGGGGGTGGCTGACAGAAGTTCTTCCGGTGCTAGGCAGTGACGTCAGGGGTAAACGGATTCCGTAGCCGTGGCAGCGGCCAGTGAGGGTAGGAACGCGTCTGCCGCAGTTTACCTGAGAAGCCGTCTGTCTGCGCCGGCGTGGGCCGCGGCGTGCCGCCGTTACGGGGTCGGCAGGTAGGGCTGGTCGGGGGACGCGGGCGGGTCCGGGGCTAGGGGGAGCTGAAGCTTCCCGCTTTCGGGAGGGGCCGGCCCGACCCCGGCGGCGAGGCCGGGGGGACGGGAGGTTCCCCGGCAGAGCCCCCGGGAGCGGCCGGCCCCCCGCCCCGGCCCCCGCCGCGGGGCGCGCCCGCCACCGCCTGGCGGATCCCCGCGGCGAGTGTCCGGAGCCGGGACGCCGCGGCTAACTTTCTGCCCGGCGTCTTCCCCACGCTCTGTGGGTGGAGCCGGTTCGTACAGTCCGTGGTCTGGGGAGCCGGGGCGTGGGCTCGTCCCCGCCCCCGTCGTCACGGGGGTCCAATCCCGGGTCAGCACCTAGTGCCCCCCCTGGACGCTCAGACGGGTGTGTGGGGGAAAGGAATCCGGGAAAGAATCGGATGGTCGCGTGGGGACCGTCTCCGTCCATCCCTCCTTCCATCCCCCGCCCAGCGTACGCATCCGATTCACGGGAACCACGCCTGGCTCGTCTCTTCACGCAGCGTCTCCACCGCACGTCCAGTCAGTCCTGTCAACTCCACTTAAGTAGCGTTAACTCAGAACGCCTCTCTGCAAACGGTTGTTGCTTACGTCTCCGTAGCTGCCTATTGGCTTGGTCAGTCATTCTGCCAGCATTTACTGAGTGCCAATTCATGTGCCAGTGTATACCCTAAGGTTATGGCGAGGAGTCAGGTAGGTGTGGCCCTGCCCTTTTGTTCCCTCAAGTCCCGTCCCCAGACTTGAGTCAGTGATCGTCACCGTTACCTTTTAAAATCGACCCATTACTGTGGCTAGGCAGCTCAGGCTTCCCTGTCTGGCCACATCCAGTTGCACTTTCGTTCTGGATCCTAATTTTGATCACACTAGCCTTTTAGTTGGAATGTGTCAGATTTCTTCTAGTCTCAGAGTCTCCCCTGAACTCTGGTCCTGGACACTCCCTCAGCTCTTCAGCTCAAGGCTAGTGCTCTACCACTTGAGCCACAGCACCACTTCCGGCCTTTTCTGCTTATGTGGTGCTGAGGAATCGAACCCAGGGCCCACTGAGCCTTCTTCCCAGCCCCTCCCCTGTGCTTTTACTTTTGCCTAGATTGTCTCCCTTCTCCCTTCTCTTAGCAAACTTTAGGATACCCTTTAGGTCTCAGTTTTAAGTGTCACTTTTTCCAGAGGTGTCACTTGTTCTTGCAGTTAACCTCCTCTTCCTGCATCTTCACATAACTACTCTCACAATTCGTGATTGATTGCTGCCTCTTCAGAGACTTTTTCTTTGATATTCTCCAGAGCAGGTACTCACTGGATTTGCCTCTTAAATACAGACTCAGGAAGGCAGAGGAAGGCAAGTAGGTGTTTGCTCCCTCAAGTTACTGGAATTTTTCAGGAGCACCTGGTCTGATTAATCATCTGGTAGGGCTAGGAATGTGTCTTAGTGGTAGAGTGCTTGCCTAGCATGCATGAAGCCCTGGGTTCGATTCCTCAGTACCACATACACAGAAAAACCCGGAAGTGATGCTGTGGCTCAAGTGGTAGAGTGTTAGCCTTGAGCAAAAGAAGATGAAGGACAGTGCCCAGGCCCAGAGTTCAAGCCCCACGACCTGGGGTTGAGGGGATGGAAGAAGCAGCAGCAACTCAGGGACAGTGCCCAGGTCCTGAGTTTAAGCCCCAAGACTGGCCAAAAAAAAAAAAAAAAACACCTGGTAGCTGTTAGTACTCGGGTATGTAGAACAGGTAGGAAGTAGGCCTTAAAAATGGACTAACATTAGTCATACAGGAGATTTCATTCCACAAGTATTTACAATATATCCTCTCTCCTTGCTGCCCCCCCTTCCCAAAACAGTTTCAAAAGGTTTCATTGATTTATTTTCATAGTTGCAAACAATCCATTTCTAACTATATTCATCCTCCTTGTTAGCTCTACCTTCTAAGATAGCTTTTTTTTTTAGCTCCTTTTTTTTAAAACAACTAAATTATAAGGAAGCTTTGGATAATTTAAAATGTTGCAAAAGAAAGGTGGTAGTTCACTTCAGTGAATTCCATTGAAATCTCATAGACACATTAGTTGGATCACAAAATGTCTAAATTTAGATATCAACATTTGATATGTCAGAGTTTTTGTCCTCTTAAAAATCAGAAGTCTGTCAACTGTAGCCACTTTTTTTTTCCCTGTCAGTGTTGGGAGTTGAACCCAGAGCCTCACTGCATCCTAGGTAAATAGTCTTCCATTGAACTATATCCTCAGCCCCATTGTGCCCCCTCCCTTTTCTTCCACCTCTTTTCTTTTTTTTTTTTTTGTCGGACGTGGGGCTTGAACTCTGGGCCTGGGCGCTGTCCCTCAGCTCTTCAGCTCAAGGCTAGCGCTCTACCACTTGAGCTACAGCGCCACTTCCGGTTTTCTGGTGGTTTATTGGAGATAGGAGTCTCACGGTCTCTCCTGCCCGGGCTGGCTTTGAACCGCGATCCTCAGATCTCAGCCTCCTGAGTAGCTAGGATTACAGGCGTGAGCCACCAGCGCCCGGCTCCACCTCTTTTCTTGTCAGTATTGGGGCTTGAATTCAGGGCCTTGGTGCTATCCTTTAGTTTTTTCACTTAAGGATAGTGTTCTACCATTTGGGCCACACCTCACCTCCACCTCCAGCTTTTTGGTAGTTAATTGGACTTTACTGCCCTGGCTGGCTTTGAATCTGGATCTTCATATTTCAGCCTCTTGAGTAGCTAGGATTACACTGGTGCCTGGCTGCCTCCCCTTTTAAACAACCTAGGCTGTTTATTTTCTGTATTAAGTTTTACTTTAATTTTGGGGGCCAAAATGAAGGTGCATTTTCAGTGTTTTCGTCTCAGCATTGAGATATCCTTTGGATCAGGAATGCAGGGTTCAAAGGCCAGCGGCAGGGGGGCGGGGGGGGGGGGATATTTTCTTTGATTCTCTGTTGTCTACAAAAAAAAAAAATACCCATCCAAACTAAGCTTTGCACAGGTCCCTCAGGTTGCCCCTGACCGCATTTCCAGTTTCATCCTCCTTCTTTTCATCCTCTAGGTGGGGTAGGTCCTGTCTCTTAGCATTCTCTGCTTGGAATGTGTCCCCTGGCTTCTGTATCTTGCACATTCTTGTGGATACTTCATCCTTTGTGTTTTCTGACAGAGACTGATTCAACTTTGGCTTCTAATTTAGGCAGCGTTGCAGTGTCTTGTATACATTCTCATTTTTTTTTTTTTTGGTTGGTCGTGGGGCTTGAACTCTGGGCCTGGGAGCTGTCCCTGAGCTCTCCAAGGCTAGCACTCTACCACTTAAGCCACAGTGCCAATTCCTCTCATCTTCTTTTTCTTTTGTGCTGGTATTGGGGCTTTAACTCGGGACCTGGGGCTGTTCCTTAGCTTTCTCATTCAAGGTTAGCGCTCTGTCACTTGAGTCACACCTTGATGTCTGGCTTTTATTGGTTAATTGGAGATAAAAGAGCCTCAGACTATTTTTACCTAGGCTGGCTTCAAACAGCAGTTCTCAGGTTTCAAGGTCTCTTGAGTGGCTAGGATCAAAAGGCATGAGCCACCAGTGCCCGGCTTTTCTTTCCTCCTCCTTTTTTTTTTTTTTTTGTACTAGGGCTTGAACTTAGGGCATCTCATTCAGTCATTCTACTTAGGGCTGGCACATTACCACTTGAACCATGCCTCCACTTCTGCTTTTTTCTGGTTAATTGGAGTTGAGTCTCTTGTATTTGTTTGTCCTGGCTGGCTTCAAACTTTGATCCTCAGATCTCAGCTTCCTGAGTAGGTAGGACTATAGGCATGAGTCACTGGCACCCTGATTGTTTGGGTAACGTTCGTATTTATTGCTTATTTTTTAAATAAACATTTGCATTTATTGTGATTTTTTATTACAGCTATTTGCATAAATCTCTTTAATTTTTGGCTTTACTTCTTTTGGGGATTTGGTGATGCTGAATTGAACTCAGGGGCTTATATTTGCTAGGCAGGTCTCTATCACTTGAACCATGCTCTGTTTTTGCCTTAGTTATTTTTCAAAGAGGGTCTTGCATTTTTGCCTGGCCTGATTATTTTTTAATCTTAATTTTTAGTCCACTTAGTTTTTTTTTTAATTTTTATTTGCTTTTTGTGTTGTTCCAGTATCTGTATTGGAAAAGTCTTTTTTGTGTCCTGAGTACATAAATGGGGATATATAAATATGTTATGGCTTACAACTTAGTTGAGATGTCAATTCTCTTCCTATTCTTTGTGATATTTCTGTAAAGCACTGAACAGTGTAATTTTTCAGCTAAAAGCACTGAACAGTGTAATTTTTCAGCTTGCCTGTCTCTTTCTCCAGCTAAACTATGTGCTCCTGTGGGGCGAGTACCATGTTATATCCATCTTTGTAACCCAGCGTCTATCAGTGCTTGCATGTAGTTGGCACTCAAGAAATGTATGTCGAATGAATGATACCTGTGACAAAGAGCTGGACTTTATTCCTTCCTGCCCCTTGCTTCTAAGACACGTCTCTTCCTGTTTCCTTCTGAACTTCTCTAAGGTCCCTGGAAGGGAAACAGGTGAGGCTGAGGAAACGGGGAGCTTTTGGAACACCAGAGGTTTGGGCACCGGTATCTGGGGCAGGTGGGGGCTGGGCTAGGAGCAGACATTTCCTTGGGTGCCTGGAACATGATTGGGGTTGGTTTCTTTGCAGCTATGGCCAAGGACATCCTGGGGGAAGCAGGGCTGCACTTCGATGAGCTAAACAAGCTGCGGGTGTTGGACCCAGATGTTACCCAGCAGACCATAGAGCTCAAAGAAGAGTGCAAGGACTTTGTGGATAGTGAGTATTTGGGAGAATTGCTCAAAGCCACTCAGCTGTATACCGCCTGAGTACAGTGCTGAGCCCTGGTAGAGTGGAATGGGAGCTTCCTAGATGTTGACCTTGGCCTCTGAATGTCCATGTGTCATTCACCTTCTCTGCCTGTCCTTTTATTAGGCTGTCCATGTGTTCCATATTGAGCCCCAGCCAAGAAAGATCTTGGGATAGGAGGGGATGCCATCTGTGAGTTTTTGCTCTCAAAAACCTTATAACTCATGGCCAGAGGTTGGGAGAAGGAAATGAAGTGTGTATTGATTTGATTTCTTGGTAGAAATGGTACTCCCCATGGTAGGCTTTAGAAGCAACTCAAAGGACTTACTGAAATTATGTTTGTGCAGAGATCAAGCTGGATTTAGTAGACCAAGGGATGGCTATGGAATGTGGCAGGTGATCGCTTACTATATGCTACCGGATAGTAAAACAGCATTCTGATACCAGTAACAGACATTGGTGAATGGGAGATTGGGTATTTAACTTTCGTGAGCTTTTTACTTGTTCTCAGCCATGCAGTAACTGGAGTCCAAGGCAACAGTTTGTTCTGAAACACATCTCTGTGAATTGCACTTTGCGCTTCTTACCGCTTCTGACCAAGTATGCCTGCTCCAGCTACTGTCTTGGCATCCATCGCTAGGTTCAGATCAAGAGTGGGAGCCTTATCCCACTGCTGATGGCTCATACCTGTAATCCTAGTTACTTAGGAGCTTGAGATCTGAGAATCAAGGTTCAAAGCCAGCCTGGGCAGATAAATCTGAGCGATTCTTAGCCCCAACAACCAGCAAAAAGCCAGAAAGTGTATATAAGGTTGGTGGTTACCTGACCTTGTCAGTACACTTTGTGGCTCAACTTTTTTTTTGGGTCTGGTCTTGGGGCTTATGTGGTGCTGAGGAATCGAACCCAGGGCCTCATGCATGCAAGGCAAGCGCTCTACCACTGAGCCACCTTCCCAGCCCTGTGGCTCAACTTTTTGAGCAAAAAAAAAAAAAGGGTAAGGCCCTGAATTCAACACCCCTTGTACAAGCACAAAATTAAGGAGAGTGGGAGAATTAAAATAGTCATCAAACTTTGTTTTATGGGCCATGGGGCTTGAACTCAGGGCCTGGGTGCTGTCCCTGAGCTCTTTTACTCAAGATTAGCACTCCATCATTTTAAACCACAGTGCTACTTCAGGTTTTCTGATGATTAAATGGAGTCCATAAGAGTCTTATGGACTTTCCTACCTGCCTGGCTTTGAAATGTAATCCTTAGATCTCAGCCTCCTGAGTAGCTAGGATTACAGGCATGAGCTGCCAGTGCTTCCTCGGCCTCCCCTCCCCCCATATCCCCCGCCCACACGCTTTGAGTTCTGGGACTTGAACTTAGGCCCTTATACTTACTAAGCAGATGCTCTACCATTGAGCTGCACCTGCAGCTCATATTACACTGATTATTTCTGACATAGAATTATGCACCTGCCTAGGTGCATAGCTAGATAATGATATTTTTACTTCCCACTGTAGCTAGGATAAGCATATGCCACTATGCACAGCTTTTTCCTTTGAGATGGAGTCTTGAAGACTTTTTCCAAATATCTAGGATGACAGATGGGAGCCACTGGTACCTGGATGCTGGTTCTGGGGCTTGAACTCAGGGCCTTGGTACTGTCCTTTGAGCCACAGCTCCACTTCCTTTTTTTCTATTTTTTTGTAGTCAGTTGGAGATAAAAGTCTCATGAACTTTCCTGCCTGGGCTGGCTTTGAACTGCACTCCCTAGATCTCAGCCTCCTGAGTAGCTAGGATTACAGGCATGAGCCACTGGCAAATTAGGAGGGGTAGTTATCTCTGCTCTCTCACTGCTTCAAGCGAGTGTTGATGCTGAGAAATATTTTGTTCTTTCTCTACAAGAAATTGGACAGTTTCAGAAGATAGTTGGTGGTCTAATAGAGCTTGTTGACCAACTTGCAAAAGAAGCAGAAAATGAAAAGATGAAGGTAAGATCTGCATGTCTTGTCTGTCTCAGCCAGGGCTCCTGGTTCCCTATTGCTGTGGGGGATGGGAAGTTCCTTAATTGAAATAAGGCTTTAACAGTTGTGGGTCCAGGACTAGAAGGTTGGCCCTAGTGGAACTTAACTATTTCTGATCCAGGTACTGTTGGAGCTTACTTGGAGAACTTTGCTACTATTCCCTTGGCTTTTCACACAAGTACTGATAGGTGCTTTTATCCTCCTCTTATAAATGGGGAAATGAAGGCTTGTGTGGTGTAGGTGACTTGGTGAAGGGTACAGGCCAAATGGCACCACCCAATGGGCTAGAGTAACTGCAGGGTTGGCTCTGAAAGCACACGCACTCAAGGACCAGTAGATTCTGACTTATCTCCTCCTTTCTCCCCTGCACTGACTTGTAGCTCCCTCACTTTGAGGACTCAGTGCTGTAGCTGGTGTAAGGAAGCCATGTTTCTCTCTGGCATTATATAATGTTATTGTCTCTTAGGCCATTGGTGCTCGGAACTTGCTCAAATCCATAGCAAAGCAGAGAGAAGCCCAACAACAGCAACTTCAAGCATTAATAGCAGAAAAGAAAATGCAGTTGGAAAGGTAAGAAGTCATCCTGTAAAAAGCAGGGTCTTCATCTTGATCACCTTATTTATCACTTTCCTAGGAGTAGCATCTAACTTGCCATCCTGAGTTGTGGGATTAAAAAAAAAAAAAAACAAAATTACCTATGATGGGAAGGAAATTGGTCAATGTCAAATGACCTGTAGTAGTGTGAGCATAAAAAGCTGAGGTAGCCAGGGCCCTGCAAGGAAGTGACACAGGGCTTGGAGATCTCATGGGTGCCCTGGCCTCGTTTCCTCTTTCTTACCCTAATTTCTTTGTGCACACCATTTCTTGGAATTATGTACACCTCTATATTCCTCTAGAAGTAAGTCTGGTTTATTTCATCCTTTTCAGGGCTTCTAATGATTTTGTTTTTCAGGTATCGGGTTGAATATGAAGCTTTGTGTAAAGTAGAAGCAGAACAAAATGAATTTATTGACCAGTTTATTTTTCAGAAATGACTGAAATTTTCATTTTTATAGCAGGAAGGCAAAAATACTCCCCAACCAAAAAGACCTCTGTACCATTCCAGTGACTTGACTAATGACCTGACCTAAGTACGTCCTGATGGTGTGTAAGGATTACAGTTCTCCGAAGGCAGTAACGCCACGTTGGGGAGTTGGCACTAAACAGTGCCTGGCACTGCAGGTGGCAGGGCAGGGCAGGGCCTCACCTTTCGCATTCTTAGTATGAACTAAGCAGTCTGTAACTTGGATCCTCTTTTTGTAAACTCACAAAGCTTTGGAAGGAAAAGCAATAAATTGTTTTCAAACAGCTTGATCAGCCATGAAGTGGTCAGCAGCTACCTTTATTTGTACCAGATGCACACAAGTCAGATAGTACCAGCAGTCAGACCAATATGGCTTTTGAGCAGGAAAGGGCAGAACTGGGATTGGCTGGGACCTGTACTCTTTGAGGGTGTGTGAGGGTTGGATGGCCTTCAGTGCAGATGTAGAGCACATACTAGTGAAAAGCTCTTAGGTGCACACAGTATACTTGTATCCCTAGCTGGAATGACTAGGCTCATCAGGAAGGGTGAAGGTCTCTGTTAGGGAACATGCTTCCTAGATGAGGCTCAAGATGCCAGGGTAAAAGGAATTATGTCCAGTGGCCTCTAAAAACATGGAAGACAGAGATTTGGGAAAAGACAGTGACTGAAAGTTGTTGGGGACACAGATCAAGTGATAAGAGTATCTGTTTAACAGGCATGCAGCCCCGAGTTCAAACCCCAGTAATTTCCTCACCCTCCTCCCTGAAAAAGATCTCTTGGGACGACTGTTTTAGAAGCAAATTTCAAACTGTGTAATATTTTTTTCTCCCAGGGGTACAGGTACTGGCAAGAACAAGTTCTTTATGGGTTTTAAAAGAGGCATAATTTGATTTGAAAGTGAAACAGCCTATTCATTCTTTAAGCCAGCGATATGCTTAGCCAGTGATATAGGCTTAGTGGGTGTGTGTATTCTGGTCATGTGACAAGAGCCACAGAACATAGCAAGCAGGCCATGCTTACCCAGTTTCTGGTCTCCTGTAAGGTAATGTAGGCATTTGGCAACACATTCCTATCACTGGCTCCCTTGCTCCAAACCCTGCTGATGGGTCTGATCACCCTGTTGCCCTTGGAAGATGAAGATTTTATGTGGCTCCTGCCATCATCTTGTGCTTGTGTGATGCTGAAGACATGGGTTCAGAGCATTTTTTCCTTCACTGGGTCCAAAGGACATCTCCCCTCTGGGGCCAAGAGATGCTCCCCTCACTTTTTCTTTTTCTTCTCTTCATACTTGTAGTAGGGATTCCGCAACATGAAAAGCAGCAGGAGGAGAGGGATGATTAAGTAGGGGGCATAGATGCATACAAGGGTCAGTCGTTCACGGAAGGTCTCAGGTCTCAGTCCTTTGAAACCACTGGCTTTGGAAAATTCCTCAAATAGAAATGAGAATAAAATTGGAATTAAAGTTGTCATAGTGTGAACTGAGTAGATGATCACAGGGATGCGGATCCACCTGCAGCTTCCTGGAAGAGAGAAGATGTCTGTGATTCCAAGGGTGTCTGGGACACTCTCCATCTTGTCCCTGTCTGCCTGTTCCCTTCAGCTGAATCACTACCTCCTCCCCCTCAAGGGGAAACTCAGATAAACAGGAGGGAAATTAGATGGGTTACATGTCCCACATGCAAACTTATGTGACAGCCATGACTCTTAGCAGTTCACTGACTGTCGAAGAACCAAGGGTTTGGGTTAGAATACAGATGGAAAGGCCTAAGGTAGAAAGCTGCGTTATTAATTTGGTCTAAAATGCAGTGAAGGAAATGGAGATGTGGCTCAAGTGATACAGTGCTAGCAATGAGTGAAGAGGCCAACTGGAGAGAGAGCATAAGGCTCTGAGTTCACCAGTACCATCACCAAAAAAGAAAAGTGATCTAAAATGTAGTGCAGGGGAATCCCACCCAACGTCTGTCTGTAAAGCACTCCTGTGAGAAACATTTTCAGCTATTTGAGCTTATTTCCCAAGAACAGAAGTGTAGATACATTGGTATAAAAACACTAGCTGGACATGGTGACTTATTACACCTGTAATCCTAGCTATTAAGGAGGTAGAGATCAAGAGCATTGTGGTAAGAGGCCAATCCTGGACAGGTTTGTAAGACCTTCATCTTAGGGTTGGAGGCATAGCTCAGTTGATAGCATGCTGGCCAATGAGCCAAAACGTCAGGCACTAAGTTCAAGTCATGGTATCTCACCAAAAAAAAAAAAAAAAAATAGGTGTGCTAATCATCCTAGCTACATTGGAAGTTTATGCCAGCCTGGGTATAAAGCTGAGACTACTAGAAAAAGCAGAAAAGGACTGGGAATGTGGCTTCTGTAGTAAGTACAGTGCTTGTGTAGCAAGTGCAAGACTGAGTTTGAACCTTAGTTATGGGGAACAAAAACTATGAGAGCACATAAGAAAAGAATTCCCTTTAGGGCTTTTTAGGGATAAATCAATATGGTAGCATCCAAAGTAGGAGAATAAAATCGATTAAGTAGAAACAAGGTCATCCTTTAAGTGGCTTCAGGTTTCAGATAATGGAGGCTGCCTATTTATTTAAACAGACAGTAAGGTGCCCTGTACAAACTGCAAGAGTTTCTGTCCTCTCCCATGAAGATACTGTCCCAAAGATTTCTGAGCAAAAGCAGAACTCCCCTCTCCCCCATTTACCAACCTTTGAAAAAGGCATACGTTGCGATGGGGAAGAAAGGCAGCTGAAACAGAAGCTCACAAAATATGAAGGACTTGAACCACACTGGGGGCTCCTGCATCAGGGGATCTTTGAACTCTTTACAATACCAGTTCATCAAGTTTCTAAGCTGGGGAAAAAAAGACATGACCTTGGTTAATTTCAAGCCACTGGCTCCAGTGGGATACAGCCTAGGTGGTCACTGGATTAAAGCTCACTACCTGTAACTCAATATTGCTTCTCTGTGAAGTTCCTCAGTTCTTCTAGTCCCTTCTTTGTGCCACCCAGCATTTGCTGGGTGACACGGGTGTCACCCACCATCAAGAGCAATAGCAAATATCTGGCTCTCAGGATTTGTGGAATGAATGTATCACTTCTGCCAATGTCTTTTTTTTGTGTGTGTGGGGGGGGAAGGGGGTATGGAAGGGGGGATGAGGAAGGGGTCAGTCGTGGTACTTGAACTCTGGGGCCTGGGTAGTGTCCCTGAGCCTTCAGCTCAAGGATAGTGCTCTACTACTTTAGCCAGTGCCACTTCCGGTTTTCTGGTGGTTAATTGGAGATGAGTCTCATGACTTTCCTGCCCGGGCTGGCTTTGAACTACAATCCTCAGATGTCAGCCTCCTGAATAGCTAGGATTACAGGCGTGAGCCACCAGCGCCCGGTGCCAACATTTATTTTTTGGTAAGGAAATGGCAAATGTGAAAAACATCATGCCAGGCGTTGGTGGCTCACGCCTGTAATCCTAGCGACTCAGGAGGCTGAGATCTGAGGATCGCGGTTCAAAGCCAGCCCGGGCAGGAAAGTCCTTTAGACTCTTATCTCATAAACCACCAAAAAGCCGGAAGTGGTGCTGTGGCTCAAGTGGTAGAGTGCTCGCCTTGAGCTGAAGAGCTGAGGGACAGCGCCCAGGCCCAGAGTTCAAGCCCGCAACTGGGGAAAAACAAAAACAAAACGTGAAATTTTTCTCTTTTATAACTGCACACACAATTCCAAAGGCCAGATTCTCTTAAATACAGGGGGAAGTTTCCTCTTCAGGGTTGGAGGCAGGGAGTGTGAGGTAAATCTAACCCCTGTGAAGATGTAATTTTGGATTTTTTTTGTCGGTTGTGGGCCTTGAGCTCTGGGCCTGGGTGCTGTCACTCAGCTCTTCAGCTCAAGGTGAGTACTCTATCACTTGAGCCAGAATGCCACTTCTGGTTTTCTGGTGGTTTCTTGGACATAGAGTCTCACAGACTTTCCTGTTTGAGCTGGCTTTGAATTGTAATCCTCAGATCTCAGCCTCCTTAGTAGGATTACAGGTGTGAGCCACCAGCACCTCACTGATTTTGGATTCTTTAACTCCAATATTGCCAATCATTATGCTCAACTCCACACATAGAATTTTCCTTTTAGAAGCAGCAGAGTATTTGTAGAAAAACTAATTGCCCAAAACTGTAGAAGAGCAAAGATCCAGTTAGCAGTCTTAGTTCCAGCCTGGGCCCCGCTCTGTGGTTACTCTGTGAAATAAAAGGATCTGAGCTTGGCAGGCAGAGCCAGTGCCAGATTCACTTCGCTGCATGCTGTATAGGAGTCCAAAGCCTCAGGGATGGCCTACAACCAAAAGTCAGCTGCCACAATTCCTGGCAGTGGCACTGTCCCAACACACAAAACTTTGTAGTCAAGTGTGTGACAGGGTGTGATCAATAAAGGCACTTCTCCACGGTAAGTTTTAACTTATCCAAGGATATTATTTGTTATTTTTTTGTTGTTGTTGGTCATGGGACTTGAACTCAGAGCCTGGGAGCTATCCCTGAGCTGCTTTTGCTCAAGGCTAGCATTCTACCACTTTGAGCCACAGAGCTACTTCCTGTTTTCTGGTGGTCAATGGGAGATAACACTCAGACTTTCCTGCCCAGGCTGGCTTTGAACCATGACCCTCAGATCTCAGCCTCCTAAGTAGCTAGGATTACAGGTATGAGCCACTGATGCCCACCTTTTTTGTTAATTTGTTGTTGGTCACTGGGCTTGAACTCTGGCCCTGGACACTGTCCCTGAGCTCTTCAACTCAGGGAGCCAGTGTCACTTCCAGTTTTTCTGGTGGTTAATTGGAGATAAGTCTCACAGACTTCCCTGCCCAGGCTGGCTTTGGACCGAGATTCTCAAATCTCAGCCTCCTGAGTAGCTAGGATTACAGGTGTGAGCCACTGGTGCCCAGCTTTTTCGTTGTTAATTTTTTTTTGGGGGGGGGGGGTCCAGTCGTGGGGCCTGAACTCTGGGCTGGGCGCTGTCCCTCAGCTCTTTAGCTCAAGGCTAACGCTCTAACACTTGAGCCACAGTGCACTTCCGGCTTTTCTTCTTTTTGCTTATGTGGTGCTGAGGAATTGAACCCAGGGCCTCATGCATGCAAGGCAAACGCTCTACCACTGAGCCACCTTCCCAGCCCATCCCTGTTGTTAATTTTTAATCAAAGGAAAAAGACTACTACATGAAAGAGCAGAAATATTTGTTAGCAAATATTAGTTTCAGAAAAGTTCTGGCTAGACAATCAGCATGACAAGATAGTATCAAATATCCAGACTGGAATAAAAATGAGGAACCAGTTCCAAGGTGCTTTCCCATCCAGTTTCAACACCAACATGATCAGGAAGAGTAATGTGAAAGCCAGGTGAGTAGTTCTCTCTGAGCCAAAGACAATCTCATTTAAACAGTTTACAAAGAGGCTATATGAGGATTGAAAAACTGAAAAAAATATCCTAGCAGCACCGGCTTGCAGGACAGCAGCAAGGGCTGTGGAGGTCAGGAAATTTCGCCAGTTTGGATCTTTATCCTCTTCCACCCTTTCCCCCATCAGGTCCAGACTCTGTCACGTGATAATTAAGAAAAAGACTCAGTTCTGCTTCCTTCAACATTAGCAGTAGAGGTTCTCTCAGTTCTGGTTTTAGACTTTTTTTTTCTTTTTGCTGGTCGTGGGGCTTGAACTCTGGGCCTGGGCACTCACTGTCCCTCAGCTCTTCAGCTCAAAGCGAGCGCTCTACCACTTGAGCCATAGTGCCACTTCTGGTTTTCTGGTGGTTAACTGGAGATAAGAGTCTCATGGACTTTCCTGCCTGGGCTGACTTTAGCTGTGAACCTCAGATCTCTCAGCCTCCTGAGCAGCTAGGGTTTCCAATTTTTTAAAGTACTAAAGGAAACCATTTAAAAGGCATTCTGAGCTGGGTGTTGGTGGCCTGTAATCCTAGCTATTAGGAGTCTAAAATCTCACGATTGTGATTCAAAGCCATCCTGGACAGGAAAGTCCGCAAGCCTCATCTCCAATTAATTACCAAAAAAGCAGGAAGCAGAGCTGTGGCTCAATAGTAGAGTGTAAGCCTTGTGCTTAGGGACAGTGCCCAGGCCCCGAGTTCAAGCCTCAGTTGTGGCACAAACGAAAGGCATTCTGGTCTATTTGAATTTCATTTTCCACACTTGTAAATAATCAGATCCAACTATTTCATAAATTCAGGTAAATCTGTACAGCACTACAATGTCTAAGGATTGCTGGTGATAAAAGCAACAATAAAAACTTCAAATCACGGGGCTGGGAAGGTGGCTCAGTGGTAGTACGTTTGTCTTGCATGCCTGAGGCCCTGGGTTCGATTCCTCAGCACCACATAAGAAAAAAGCCGTAAGTGGCGCTGTGGCTCAAGTGGTAGAGCGCTAGCCTTGAGCTGAAGAGCTGAGGGACAGTGCCCAGGCCCAGAGTTCAGGCCCCACGACCGGACCCCCCCCCCCAAAAAAAAACCCAAAACTTCAAATCATCCAGTTTCCTGAGTTAGGACCCACTGCCTGTGATCATCTATCAGTCAGCTGGTGTTGGGATGGGGCCCAAGCAGGTAAGTGGAAGAGAAGTCCTGATGCTTCCGTAGAGTGATGAGGAACATGTGAGCTGGGAGCTTTCAAGTCACCACACTTGCTTTCTTGTCTATAGTGTAAGGCCACTAACAACTACGTACTGCTGGTAAGATACAGTGAGTTAACACATGTAGTCTTTAGATGTAGCACATGTAATCACTTAATACACAAATAAATACTGTATATGAATTAATGCCTAGCTGAAGATGTTCAAGTTTAATTCTGTTTATGCCTCTCGCCACTGAAGTCCTCTGTCCCCCTCCATCCATACTCTATAGTTAACTCATGTCACAGCTGTTGCCCAGTACGAGCCATCTGCACACCTGGCTTTCTAAGAGGGCTGGCTACTGAGCACTCTTGCACGCCTCTCATTTATGACAGGGATAGACTGCAAGCCCAGATGCCTATCCTTGTTTTAATAGAAGCAGTTTGTCCAGCTGCAAATGACACAAAATGTTTCCTGTTCTCTCCATGTTTCAGCCTATGTGCAATTATTTTACTGTTATGTAACCAGAACTTTCCCGTGATTTGATTTCAAACGAAGAAAAAAGTTTGATCTTAAAATTTCACCACCACCAGTATTGTGATTTCCCATAGTGCTTTTTTAGTTCTAGGGGAAATTTTCTCATTTCAGGAAGAAAACCAGATGTTAAATTTTGGTACCTGCTAAAGAAAATCTGAGACAAACTCAAGGTAATTGTCTTCTCCATAAAAAGCAACAAAATCACCACCCAAAAATTTGTAATGAGTGAATAGGGGAATTCAAGGTGTGGCTTAGCCAACCTGAGCCACGGCCAGTACCGTTCAAGCTGTCACATGTACCTGTGAGTAGGGTCGCCAGCCTTCCAAGGCAGCATGTTCCCACACTAACTCCTTCAGTTATCACCATCAATATATGAATGCATGTGTGCTCCCATTTCTGGTTAGATCCTGCACTGGTCCTTAGCACTACACTAAAAACAAAAAGGCTTAGGTTTTCCTCAGGGCTTGAATTCAGGGTGTTATCTTCAAACTTTTTTGTTCAAGGCTACTGTGCTCTACCACTTGAACCACAGCTCTACTTCTAGCTTTTTAATAGTTAACTGGAGGTCAGAATCTCAGACTTTCCTTTCCAGGCTGGCTTCGAACTGCAATCCTCAGATCTCAGCTTCCTAAGTAGCTAGGATTACAGATGTGAGCCACAGGTGCTCAGCATCAGAGGATTTTTTTGAGTGTGTTCTGGGATCAAACCCAGGGCCATGTGATAAGTACTAACACTAGGTTATAACCCGATCCCTAAAGGGGAGAGAAACTTACCTTCTTGAATATGTACAGTTAAATTGAGTCTTTTTGATTCTGACATATTTCAGTTCTATTTTTGTAAGCTGTGAGCAAGGAGAGGAAATGAAAAGATAAATAAGTTTGGAACGGCAATGTAGAATAACAAGCTAGTTACGAAGAACTGAAGTGACTTAGAACATCAAGAGATAGTGAATGGCCAGCTTGCCCGCCTGAGGTTTGCCGGCTTCCTAAGTTTTAAAAACTTCAGAGGTAGCAATAGCTTTCCTGTTTTCTGGGAGCTGTTAGTGCAGCAATGTGAGAACCTCTTTGGAAAGAGAATGTACTAGGTGGCGCAGTATGGGTGGTGAAACAATCTGGCCCAAAGACAGTAATGATTAGGCCTCTGACTTACTTGGTAGTAAGTGCAGATAGGGAAGAGGGAGATTGGATGCAGAAGAGAAGATGGCAGTGTGATAACCTGGAGACTAAAGTGATATGGTCACAAGCCAAGGAACACTGGCAGCCACTAGAAACTGGAAAAGAACAGATTTTTCCCTGTGAAGGAAACAGCTTTGATAACAGCCATGATCCGTCGTGTACCTTTGACCTCTAAAGTGTAGAGTGTCAGAGTGTCCGGGACTTTCCTGCCGGGGCTGGCTTTAAACTGCAATCCTCAGATCTCAGCCTCCTGAATAGGATTACAGGTGTGAGCCACCGGTGCCCGGCCTTCTGGCTTTTTTGATGGTTAATTGGAAATGAGATACCAGTTCTTTTCTTCTCCCCCCACCCCAACCTCACCCCACTCCACTTCTCTCCTCCAGTACTGGAATTTGAACTCACGGCCTGGGTCCTATCCCTCAGCCTTTTCACTCAAGGATGGCGCTACCACTTGAGCCACAGCTTCTGGCCTTTTGGTAGCTAATTGGACAGAAGAGTCTCATGGATTTTCCTGTCCCAGGCTTGTTTCAAACTTTGGTCCTGGATCTCAGCCTCCTGAGTAGCTAGTATTAGAGGCTTGCTCTGCGCCACAAGTTCTGAAGAATCAAATCCCCAGACTGCAGTCCAGTGCTCTGCCCATACTACTAACTATGCCTTTTTCATGCAACTAGAGGTTTGGTTGGACTATGCTTGCTTCTAGAAGCAAATAGGAGATGCACACCAAGGAAGATACATAACACATTTGCCAGCACCTCTGAGAGTTCATGGACTTGGGTCTGCAAAGAAAACACATTTAAGGAGTACTTCAGAGAGGCAAAATTTGTAGCTGATAAGCCAGCCTTACCCACCGTTTAACCATTAACTTAGACAATCACAGACTTGCCGACAGGAAAATTCCCTGAAGCAGAGTCCAGGATCTAGCTGGATGGTAGTGATGCACACCTGTAATCCCAGCACGCAGGAGGCAGAGTAATACTGGGAGGCTAATCTGTAGTACACATTTCCTTATCTCAAAGTAGCAAACAATAAAAGGTCTCAAGCCCCAGTTTTGAATTTTTTTTTTTTTTTTTGTAAACTAGAAGTGTAGTTCTGAATATTTTAAAAAAAAAAAAAAGAGTCTGAAGCAAAGAGTATTCTCCAGCGGCCAGGAAATGGGGCCGTGCACCTGTGTTTTTCCCCAGGTGTCACTGGGCTTTAAAACAGCCCCTCTCCAGGGCGTCCGTGAAAGCCAGGCGTGCAGCGAGGGCGCGGAGGCTTTGGCCCGACCTAATCCTCGGAGTTGGGATCTGGGGCTAGGCTGGTACCTCCCAACCCCTCTCCAAACCCCGCCGGTGCGAATGCACAGCGCTTCCCCCGCGCGGGTTCCCTCAAACGCCGACACGTGCGCGGGGGACGGCGGCCCGGAACCGGTCCCCGCCGCCGGGGCCACCGGCGCACAGACCAGGAAGCCCAGGAACGTCAGGTCGGAGTCAGCGAAGGGGTTTTGTTGTTTGTTTGTTTTGGGGGGGGGTCTGGTGGTGGGGCCTGAACTCTGGGCCTGGGCGCTGTCCCTCAGCTCTTCAGCTCAAGGCAAGCGCTCTACCACTGAGCCACCTTCCCAGCCCCGAAGCGAAGGGGGATCCGAGAAAGGGGGGCCCTGCGTGGGCGACGAGGGGCGGGAAAGGGCGTCTGGATCCCCCCTCCCCGGGCGCCCCTCACCTCGGCCGGGTAGAGCTCCGGCGGCAGCAGCGCCTGCAGGTCCACGAACAGAGTGATGGGGATGTGGGAGAGGAAGTAGAGGCCGAGCAGACACTCCAGGCAGCGTCTGGGGACGACGACCCCCATCTTCCGGAGGCTGTGCGACTAAGAGGGGAAACCGCGCAGGACGCCAGCTCCGGACGAAAGAAGAGAATGCGCGCCGCACGTCGGCCGGACCGCCGCCGCCGCCTCCTTGAAGGCTACGCAGGCCTCTCCCATTGGCTGCTGAGACACGAGGCGGGCTCCCCTGGGGCACTTCCATTGGCTCCCAGGATGGCTCGCGCGAAGGCACGCATTAGAGTGTTCCTATTGGCTGATGGGAGCATCGCGTGGCAGGGGCGGAGCCCCGCGCGAGAAGGACGCCATTCATTATTTCGGTTCCGTTGTGTTCTTCAGCGCCCGGGTGTGTACCCGGCCGTGCCGCCGATGGACTTGGACTCCGCGTACAGTGGGGCTGTCGGAAAGTTCCTTGTCAGGCCGGGGTTGAGCGGCGCGCTCGGAATGTGGCTCAGTGGCAGAGTGCTTGCCTGGGTTCGATTCCTCAGTACCACATAAACAGAAAGAGCTGGAAGTACCTTGAGCAAAAGGGTCAGTGCCCAGGCCTTGAGTTCAAGCCCCAGGACTGGGGGAAGGGGGTGAGGGGTGGGGTAGAAAGCCGGGCGCTGGGTGCCTCACGTCAGTAAGCCAAGCTACTCAGGAGGCTGAGATCTGAGGATCGCAGTTCAAAGCCAGCCCAGGCAGGAAAGTCTGTGAGACTCTTCTCTCCAATAAACCACCAGAAAACCGGAAGTGGAGCTGTGGCTAGTGGGTGGCACGCTGAGCAAAGACGAGCTCGTGAACAGCGCCCAAGCCCTGGGTTCAAGATCCAATATTCACACTCATGCACAAGCGCGCGCACACACACAACAACAACAAATAAAATGCAAAGGGTCCGATCCTGGGATGTGATTGGAAGCAGGACTTGGTGACTGGCTGTGGACAATGAGGGAGGGAGGGGTCAAAGGTTCATTGTCACTCAACAAATATTGAGTGATTATGCGGATTCCAGGTGGGCAGTCTGAAACAGTCTGAAGAGTGCTCATGGAGGTGGGGGGAGAGGAACAGATGAATTTAAGGAAATATAATTCAGTTTTGCCTTAGCTTGCTGATGGGGTGCCGAGCGGTGGAGGTGGTTAAGGCAGTTGAGAGAATCTGTTGACTGGGTTGGTGGGTGTCAGCCTCTGGTGGGTGTTGAAGTTGTGAAGGGTGTTGGGAGGAGGAGACTGTGACAATAAAGGTGGATAAGGAGGAGCATCAAGTTACAGGGGAGGACCCTATTGAGAGCAGTTGTGTGTAGGGGCAATAGTCAGTGTTAGCAGAGAAGAGTAAGGAAGTGGGGAAATGGAGGCAGGGAGTGGAGGAGGGATGTACAATGTTGCTTTTGTTGTTGTTTGAAGTTTCAGGTTGACGGAGAAGCTAGGAGGAGAGAGAAAATGTGGCTCAGGAAGGCTAAGGGGGGGGGGCGCACTGGGGGACCAGGACATAGGCTGGCATGGCTGAGGTGGGTGCCCTTTGATCAGGAGGGCCCAGTCTCCCGGGCTGCTTTGTATCTGTGTGAAACGTGCTCAGGAAAAGGCAATCAGACTGTCAGAAGTAGGAAGACTAAGGTGATTTTGAGTTGAACAAGAGTGGTGAAGGAGTATGCAGTCTAAGACAGACGTGGGGGCCAGGGAGTATGCAGTCTAAGACAGACGTGGGGGCCAGTGATTGGGAGTAGAGACAGAAGTGGGCTGGAGGCCCTGCTAGGGAAGAGACGGTGGGAGAGGCCCTGGCACACCACCTCTGGGTTCCTGGTGTGGGGAAGAAGGAAAGGTCTTTGGAGATGAAGTCAGTGGAAAGATTCAGAGGCCAAGAAGGCTGGTGTGGGCCTGGGTGGAGGCCTGTGCACAGGGGTGTGGTCAGGAGGAAGGGGTGCATGGGTGGAGGGGCAGCGACATCTCACACTGCAGAGGGGAAATGTGTGGAGCCGCCCTGGGAAAAGAGGGGCTGGCACCTTGGATAATGTGAGAAAATGACCAGCTGTGCCAGAGGAGCAGAGCCCTATCAGGTGCAGATTCCTGTGGAGGCCCCCAAGGTCGGGAAGGGGTGCAGCTGGGATGAGTCAGCAGTAGGGAAGGGGACACAACAGGGAGCTGGAGCTTCTGTTTGGGTTGGGGAGCAACATGGCTGGATAGGCTGTGGGTACAGTTCTGTTAGGCTGAGCCTGCCCGGACCATCTTGCTCAGGACCCTGCCAGAAGGGAGTAGAGGCTTAAGTGCTGTCCTAGCTCCAAGGGCCACCTGTGCTCAGGGGGAGGAACAGGTGTATCTTAAGAGGGGCTGGGGTAGGATGGTGACTCTGATGAGCTATTTCTTCTACAGGAAACAAATAGTCCATGTCCAAGAAGCCATAGGTCTTCTGAGGGGAAGAGTGTCAGAACTGTTGTTTTGTGTTAGAGCTTGAACTTAGGGTCTCACTCTGTTTCTCTCTCCTACTTGAGTCACATTTCCACTTAAGGCTTTTGCTGGTTAATTGGAGAGGAGTCTATTGGATTTGTTGGCTCTGGCTGGCTTAGAACCAGGATCCTCAGATCCCAGCTTCCTAAGTAGCGAGGCTTATAGGGATGAGCCATGGTTGTTGGGTATAAATTGACAAGTTGCTCCTTTCTGCTCTCCCCTTGCTTCCAGTCCTATGTGTATAGTGTCCCCCTCTTCAAACTCTTCCTTTGAAAGAGAATATGAAAAGGTAGCAGATAGTCTAGGGCTATGAGTACACAGGCTGAGATACTTGTTCCAGGTCACAAAGTGAGTATCACGGTGGACAGTAGAACCTGTGTCTCAACCTCTAGCCTCAGGAAGGGCCCAGGTAGTGTGTTTAGGACAGCTCATCATCACCATCATCATTGTGGTACTGGGATTTGAACTCAGGGCTTCACACTTGCTACCACTTGACCACAATTTCAGCGACATTAGTTCTATCCCGGGGGCAATACAGCACTCTCCCCTGCAGTCTCCAGGGCCCACCGGAGCAGACTAGGGCACTACACAGATGTATTCAGTAAAGCACCTGGCAAGTGTACCCCTCCCAACACCCAGGATGGTCTCAAAGAACATACTCCTTGTTGGTCCCAGCTGCTTGCTGCGGGAGGAGCATGGGGGTCTACACTGTGGGACTTCCTCAGCAAATGAGAGCATGCACAGCTGGTAGTGTGACCGCAAATCACCTGGCCCAGTTTCTTATCTGTAGATAGGTATTTTCAAGGCCAAGCCCTTCCACTTGAAGGCTCCTACATCCACATAACCTCTCTCCAGCTGCCAACTTCAGTGTGCCATTCCTTTAGAGGAAGAACTGACCACAGCTCTTAACTCTGCCTCAGAATGTAGTGGCTCTGGGAGAGGTCACCTGCAGAAGGGTGACACTGCTAATGTGAAGCCATGGCCTACAGCATGTGTCCAGTGAGGGCCATGATGGGAAGAGTCTATATAAGGCCTTTTGAAAATTACTCAGCTATTTGAGGCTGAAATCTGAGGATCCTGGTTCAAAGCCAGCCCAGGCAGGAAAGTCTGTGAGTCTCTTTACTTCCAATTAGTCACCAAAAAAGCTGTACACAAAGCTGTGGCTCAAGTGTCTGAGTACCAGCCTTGAATAAAAAAAATCAAGTGAGAGCATGAGGCCCTGAGTTCAAGCTCCATTACTATCATGCACACATGCACATTATTTGTATTGTGATGAGACAAATACAATTACCACACCAGTAGACACCAGTTACCAGTCTTTACTGGTAACTTAAGCCGGAGGGGCCTCGTTGGCAGTAACTACCCAACTTTTTCTCTCCTTTTCCTTCATTTTCTACTTAAAATGCACCAACCCTTCTTATCCCACACCACCCACCGTCTCGGTGTGTTTTAGGGTAAAGGCCACTTCCATTTGCCTCCATTTGGTGACACTGGCACTTGTGAAGTTCTGGGGTACTGCTGAGTTTGCCCCTTTGCATTCTGACATGCTTCTTCCTCTCCTTAGGTTCCTTGAAAACAGATCCTTCTGTGCCTCAGCTTAATTAACACAAAAACACAAAGCTGGAGTCAGTGTTAAATGAGTTAAATGGTAAAGTCACTCATCTGTCACAGTGTAACAGTGAAGGAACACTGGACAGAAGAACAGACGGCCAAAGGCTCAGTGAAAATCCAATTTCATGAGATTCTGGGTTATGGAAGATGAGACCTGTTAAGCTAGTGCCCAATCAGCAGATGGCTTCATACTTCAAAACCAAACCATTACTGAAGGTGGGCTTTGTTCCAGTTAAATTTACCAAAGTAGGCAGTGTGCTTGATTTCACACGTGGTGGTCACAGTTTATCAGCACTGTTTAGCACTAGCCAAGGCCTGGTGGCCATAGCTACCTACAGTAAGTAAAACAAGCATGGAGGACATGCACCACACATCACGGCCCTAAGGTTGTGGCCTTCCAATCACATTGCATAGGAACAGGTTAGCTAGGTGCCCACATCTTACCACTAGAGGGCGCAGGGGTACAGGATAGCTGCAAGGCCTGAGAAGAGACTTCATGGTTTCAGCACCCTGGTGAAGGTGTGTTCATACACTCACTGTGTGATCCAGTCCACTGGGGTGGAAAACTAAAAAATTGGGGCAAAGGTCATCAGGACATGACACTATGTGCCATGTGATGAGGAACAAAATCTGATCAGTATTTCTATAATATCAGTATTTCTCAACAGCGTAGTTATTACAAAGAAGGGAACTGAACAGTGGGCAATTCAGCTTTGATCAAATGATCACACACACAACCACCAGAGATGAGGTGGGCCAGTGTCTGTGCCTCTTGATGCGACAGAATAAGAAGTGTACACATCATCCAAAAATGTTCAACTTCAGTGTTTTACACAAGGAAACAAACCGACAAATACAGATCTCCGTGGGACTTCTGTCATGACAGTTGGTTTTGTACCCTCATAAATTACAATGTTGAGAAAGAAGAAATAGCAGAGGGACTGTCCTGAATAAGTCAAATTTGAGGGCTTGAAGAATTTTGTATGTGTAGGGAATATCAGGTAACAAATCAGTTGTTAAATTTCTTAAAAAGGGCTGAGAATGTGGCTCAGTGGTAGAGTGCTTACCTAGCATATATGAAGCCCT